TCGCTACGTGTTTACTATTCCAGAAAATAAACCGCCATCTGTCGTCGGGGTGGTACGGGTAAGGGCAACCTTCACTACCCTTTCAACGATTTCTTTCGAAAAAAAATTGGTGACAACCCTCCGAAATACGCTTTTTACAGGCTTACCACGTTGCATTGTCGTCTAGTGACATATTGCTACAGTATGAAATTCTTCCTGGTTCCTTTGGTGATTCGTTACCGTTCCGAGTTCATCCCATTTCGGGAGAAATCACTAGCGAATCGGTGCTCGACTATGAAACCAACAAAAACTACGAGTTCAAGGTGAGCTATTCGTCGGCTTTCAAAGTTGATCTCCCTGATTGAAACCGTTTTCCTACAGATACGTGCTTGCCTTTCGGTAAATCCGGGTACTTGCGGATATACTTCTGTCGTGGTAATCGTCAAAGATGAAAACGATAATGCGCCCCGATTCTCGGCTTCACAATTCCACCTGTCACTTCCGAGCGATCTTCCTGTCGGCTCCGATGTCATCACATTACAGGCCACCGACGCTGATTCAGGGCTTAATGGCGATGTCAACTACGCTATTAATCCGCCTAGCGGTCAGTCTCTTCCCACCAAAAAAATCGCTCGGTTTGGGATAAATATCATTTCAGCGGTGTTCGGGATCGACTATCATACGGGCGTTGTGCAAACGACCGCACCACTAACCGAATCTCATTACGACCTTACAGTTGAGGCTTTTGATCATGGAGATCCCAAACAGATTGCCATCGCCCGACTCAGGATAGCCGTTCATGGGACGAATCCTTCTGCCCCTGTGTTTGATCAGGTATTTTTGATATTTTTGTTTATTCTTATTATTTTCCACTAGATTTTTCTCCTTCTACTTTGCCCAGACGAATTGTTGCGTCTTCAGAAGCGCTATGACGTCACGCTGGAATCACCCATACGTGCTGGAGCTGTGGTGGCTGAGCTTCATGCAAAAGACCCGGATCCAGGTATGGAAGGGCAAATTACCTATCGATTTGACCAATCCGACGACCAGCTGAAGCAAGATCGTAAATTTTCGATAAACGAACAGGTGAGGTTCATTGGACCGTAATAGACGTGAGAGGGTCAAATGCCCATTTTCAGACTGGAGTGGTTTCGGCATTAACACCTTTGACACCACAAGATGGACCGTTTGACCTAGTAGTCATAGCTGAGGATCAGAGTCCGGTCTTCAAGAGGAAGGTAAGTTAGTGAACCTTTCCTTGAACTTCGTAGATCGTGAGGAGCCTCCGTTCAGGCATCAGCGGTGCTGCATATCGAAATCGTTGGGGACACTTCCTTACGCTTCCTTCCACTACCGTCTACCATCTACATCTCTACAGAGAAAGCAGTCGGAAGCGTCGTTTTGAGGTCAGCTGGTGATTGTCCATATCCTACCTTCATCTGCCCTCTTCAATGCCTTGCTTCAGAGCATCTGCCTTCACCAGCTCCTCTTTACCTGTTCATTTCCGGATACTAGAAAACGAGTCCCAGTTTGTCATGGACGGTGATCTGCTTCGGGTGAGTTCCAGAAAATCTTCTACCCACATCCTTATCGTCTTCAAAAAAAGGTGAATTCCAGGTAGCGAATCATCTATCATCCGGTGAGACTCATCTGACTATTCGAGCCGAGTCAGATAATGCTTTTTCGGACCATCAGCTTCGAGTGGTGGTGATGTTCGATCGAGACAAGTATCCTGTGTTCCCTCAACTCACTTATGATATTGATGTCAGTTTACTTCTAAGCAAAACTCTATCTCATCCAGATTGAAATGATGATAAAGGGTGAATGATGGGAAGGAAACGGTGAACCAGGAATCCTGAGATGCGCCATGCACCATTTTTCAATTCAAGTTTGGGCAAGCCTTTGTTTGCTTGGTTAGTCTCTACCAGGGCTTGCTGGACAGCCGTTATGTAATCTAGTGCAAATGTTTGAGGAAGAAAGAAGGTAACAGTAGCTTGGCAGCTTCTCTCTTTTTCCCTTAGCAGTCCCTCCTTGTTTACTGAATGAAACGGAAACTTTCGGGCATCTGAGTGGGAACTTCGCCATGGGTACTTATATGGGAGACTTCGAATGCACGGAAGGGACTATAGCTTTTGAACAGCAATGTATTCGAATATGTGATACTCATAGAATCGAGTTNCCGTCATGTAATCCAGGGCAAATGCCTTATCAAGAAGGAAGATAATAGTAGCTTGGTACCAGCTTTTTGGGTGTGGTGCAGTAGGAACGCAATTGTCGCGTCGCGGTGAGAACGCCGCGCGCGGAGGAATGTAGCAAAATGCAGCAGCATGTAGGGAAAACAGGAACGAAAGAATGAGCAGTAGAATCATGCCATAAGTAATAATCGCATGGCGATTGAGCTGTATGAAGAACGCTAGAACTGTTATAACGAGGCAAATGGTCCTGACAGCCGCGTGCCGCGGATCGATTACACGGAATCATTCCTACTGCCCGTCTTCCCAGTTTCTCTCCTTTTCCTTCAGCTGTTCCCTCCTTTTTCTACTGAAACTTTCGGATGTCTGAACGAAAACTTCGCTATGGGTATAACTTCATCACAGGGTTTATACCCTTTGGATAGAAATCCTTTATCAGATTGTGGGACCCATAGGATCGAGTTTTACCAACACAAATGAGCAATCAAACGCGGGCCGCGAAGGGTCAATTTCTTTTGAAAGGGATAAAAGTTAACCTAAAAAATTGACAGGAAATTGGTTGGGCAAGAAATTTTGCTACTATTTCTCATCAATATAAATTGTTTATCGATTCAGATTCCAATCGATTCTCAATTCCCAGTGGTTGTGCATCGCTTCGACGCTCGTCTGCTCAACGGTACGCTTCGCTACCGGTTCTTCCCAGATGGTACCGCTCCTGAAGGACTGTACATTGATTCAAGAACGGTGAGTTTTGGAACATTCATCAAACTGTGACCAATTTTCGACAATTCTTGTTAGGCCTCTGGTCACGAGCAGCTGCTTTTTGGCTTCCAAACTCGTTAAAAGAGCAAATCGTTGAAGGTGTAGTTGAAAATCGTTCAGATTCGTTCTGTTATTGATAAAAATCCACTGACATCGAGAAACGAATCATCCCTCCTGCGAGGACCTCTTGGGACTTAGTGGGGCTGAGCCGTCAATTGCAACTTTAGCGTCATGTTCTGTTCCAAACCATTTTTCTCAAAAAAAAAATAATCAAACTGATGAGGAACTTGTAGTCCCCTAAAGCCAGGCCGAGAATCTCAGCTCGTTGAACTCCTTCCAAAACATTATAATCCTTACAGATTTCGTGAAACACCTGACTTTCAGGGAGAACTAAGTGCGACCGCTTCGTATGCTCAGACACCAGCCAACCATGAAACTCAATTCGTTGTCGTTCGAGCCGTGAATGTCGATTATCCTGAATTCTACTCGGATGTTGGGGTACGGTACCTTTTTCAACGTCGTTCATCTCGTTCCTCTCCAGAATTGTCTATGTTTAGGTGGCAATCAGCCTGGTATCTAGCCGATCACTTCATTTCCCTCAATCTATATATAGACTACAAATTAACGAGAACGTGCCTATTGGAACGACAATCTTCCCTCCAATCGAGGTATAACTTCTGGACACCCAGGCTTACCAACTGGACGGCTTCTCAATTTTTTTTTCATTTCGAATAGTTTACATAGCGGCCTGCCTACAAAGTACTGAACTCGTTCTTAATGAGAATTACAAAAAGCTAGCCTCTCCTACTTTTTCCCTTCTAACATTGGAAGAGGAAGCATCCTCTTCACTGAATGCTATGTCAATCAACCTTGTCTCTTTTAGGTGTTTCCAAAATCGACTACTGTAGAATACTCGATCACCCCTTCCACTCCTTTGAGTATCCTTCCAAACGGTACATTAGTTGTCAATGCACCCGTAGACCTTGAACAATTGCCAGTGGATCAAGCTGATAGCCTTCACTTTGTGGTGAGTCCTTTTTTTCAAAGACGGTAGTCAGGCTCCATGTAATTTAGTCCGTTTCCAAGATTAATTGTTGTCACTGTCACTACTACTGCCTTCGTTATGATCACCATTTGCTACTATTTTTGAAGAATTTATCTCATTCCCACTTCGTAGTTTTGGGATACGATCGTTCTGATTTGACTGGGGAGTAATTTCACATCTTCTCAGGTAACTGCAAAAGTAGGCGAATATCAAGCCTTCACGAAAATCCAACTGAAAGTCAAGGATATAAATGAGTTCGCACCACAATTCGATAAGCCACAATACGATGTATCACTCTCTGAGAGCTCAGCTCCTGGCAGTACAATCGTCCAGGTCAAAGCCACTGATGCGGATAGAACCGACGGCAAACATCTGCTTTACAAGGTTGTAGGAGGTAAGGTGCTGTTTTAGTTTAGTTTTTTAGTAGCTTCCCGTTGGAACCCACTAATTGACAAGCGTTGCTTCCTCAGAATGCGCCGCGCAGTCGAACGCCATGTGCAATTGTAGAGAAATAAACTTATCTTTCAAGGTTCGGGTCGCGATTTGGTGTTCATACAAGAAGATGGCACACTGATTCTTGGCGATACCCCTCTGAATCGTGAGGATATGAACCGTTTCGATGTTGTGGTGGAAGCTATCGACAGAAGTGGAAACAAGGTTGGTCTTCAAAACTCATCGGTGACTGGGGGTGTTGCACAGGCGTTGATGGTTTAAGGACACAACGACAGTCGTCGTTTCTGTGGAAGATGTCAACGACAATGCGCCCATGTTCCCGTGGCCATCCTTCACATGGAATATCACTGAAGGTCTGTTGAGACAGTCCTTCCCGTAGGTATTGCTGACTCGCAAGGTGTTCCAGGTTCGCCTAGTGCCACACTTGATGTCACCGCTTCTGACAACGACACAGGTTTGAATGGAGATCTTGAGTATCGGATTGTCCAAGGGAATCATGGCAATCATTTTGAAATCGAAAAGACGTCTTCAAATCGCGTAGGTTCTAATTTCGATTAATCCCTTTCAGTGCTTTTATTCGAGCTGTTTTATTCGAGCCGGTACAGCGGTCTCTGAACATGTCCGAAATTTGGAACAACAGGCCGAGGTGGCAGTTATTCTAGCTATTTCAATGCCGGCTGCCTTTGCAGGCTCTACTGGCTCTATGGTGCTCGTGTTAGGCGGCTCCTGCGCTGCAAAGGGCTACCTGTCAAAGGCGGGAGTGAGGGAACTCTAGGGCTTCTGTTTCTCCTTCTAGGCTTAGGCTCCAGTTATTGTATGCCAATACTTCAAAACCACCTTTAGGGAAGTCGATTCCGTCAATCTTCTCTCCTTCATGCCCCTCAATCACAAAAGTCGCTTTATAGAATCATCCAGAGCCTGCATGCCCTCCAGTATTCACGTAAACATATCCAATCACTGCTGCTAGCTGTTGCCCTACCCGCTACCATGTGGCCTTGAAATGCGCGGCCCAACCTTTCCTTATTATGTTCGGAGCAGAGGAAAGCTTATTTGCTTGAGGCGAAGAAATTTTGAAGCTAAAGGTGGTGCATGGGAAAACGAAAGTACCATAGCGGTTATCGTGAGGGTTCTTTTAAGCTTGCAGATTTTCCCCTAACTACCTCTGACCAGCATAGGGTTGAGCTGCACTTTATATCCTTTCATATATATCTCGAATCCGGGCTGCAGCATCTCTTTGGGACAGTTAACGGAACGGTGGAAGCCGTTTTTGAAGCGTGTCCGTAGCCTAACTTTATTGTTGCCACTTTATATAGTTTGTGAGCAATGAAGCCTGAAGCTGAAGCCCATCCCTAGCCTACCCAATGGACTGCTGCTTTCCTACTCTCATCTCAGTTGGAGATCAGTGCATATCCAAATTTTTCCATTATCGCAAGAATCTGAATTATGAGTGAAACTTACAGACAGACATGAAGAGGATAGTGAAAATGACCGAAATTTCAGGCTATTCTCAGACTGGTCCTACCCTTGGACTACGAACTCCAAAAAACCTTCAAACTCACCATCGAAGCAAAAGATCAAGGTGTTCCACCTCATGTAGCGATCACAACAATCATAGTCAATGTCCTCAACACAAACGACAATCCACCGGTTTTCCAACGGGCCAACATTGAGCAAGAGGTACGGGTAGAATCATGTTGTTCCAGTCTCTCACTCACCTCTTACCTTTTAGGTGTCTGCTGATCTTCCTGTTGGCTATCCGATTCTGACACTTACCGCCAGTGATGCCGATCACGACCGACTATCGTATTCTTTGACCGGCGATCCAGGCTGTTCTTCATTGGCAGTTGATCCTATGGGAATCGTTTCTTTCAAGACTCCTGCTCCCAAACGGAAGCCTGGATTAATCACTTGTGTAGTCTCGGCCACCGATGGAGTTTTCACGGCGAATGCGACACTTCGGCTTAACATTTTCGAAGGCGGTCAGCCAACAAGGTATTTTGTGAATTGGAATGCTTATTATTTTTTCCAAATTCCATTCGATAATTACTTTTGTAAAGGGAGTCCGGTCGAGCCTGACATGCAAGGTGATAGGTTTGTCCCTGTGGGTGCTTCAGTACGAATGAAGTAGCTGACTTCCAGGCGCCTAGTCGAAGCCGTGTATAGAATCGAGATGATTCATATATCAATCCGTCGGCTTCGTCTCAGTAGTTTTGGGAATGACAGGAGCCCTGGAATGTAGCAAGACAACTAGCTAGTAATCGCTTACGGTGTTGTTCAATAGAGATTCGCAATACGTTACGTACCGAATTCCAAAATTGCTCAGGTCATCGCAAAAAGGTTAGCTGCTGGGAATGGGGTAACTGCTAGACTGGGTCCAAGTCGGGGATACTCCCTCTTTTCACTGGGTCTGTATAGCTTCTGGTTGACTTCCGTATCAGTATAAAATACGGTTCGGCAGAGCGACGAACGAGTTCAATTCCATATTTCTGCCATCTGCTTCAGTATCTGTATCGATTGCACTTCTGGTCCTGAACTAGCAAGAGTATTCTTCCATAGCAAGTCGTGGAAGCCGGCTGGCTAGGTTCGGTTCGGTTCTGAGGGGCTACAGTGGGCAAAGAAGGAATGACTTCTAAGAGCTCTGACTATTGCCCCATTCAGTAGTAATTGGAGTGTAACCACATAATTTCTTAGATATTTATTCTGAGACAGGATTAACTGGTCCAAAGTGAATACGAAAGTAATTGGAAATTGGGTAAAGTGATTTCAGAGAAACGCCAGCTGAAAACCATTCTCCACGTTTTGCGAAAGAGGTCTATACAGTCACGGTGACACCGAATCAGAGAAACCAAGTGTTGAGGAAGATAACTGCCACTGATCCAGACGGAGACGTGCTGATATACTCCATTGAACCTCCAGAGTTCAGGAATCTTTTCGCTGTCGATGCAGAGGTAGGAATTGGTGATGTTACTTCTCAAGCATCCAGCTGAACCCTTTTTTTCAGGGTCAACTCTCTGTACGGGTACCGATTTCCGAACTAAAACAGTCACTCTACAGTTTCCTGATAGTCGCAGAAGATCGAGGAAAACCCATCATGTCAACATTCACTAACATCAGAGTTCGAGTGCAAGACAACGAGGTCACAGCCGTTACCTCCAACTCTCTCGAAGGCACCTATTCGACGGAATCAGCCCAGACAACTTCTCCTATGCCAACTGCTGGGGAGTATTCTCCAGGGAGTGAGAATTTGCTTGATACAACCACCAGCGCGCAGGAAATACATTCCACGATTGCTTCGATAACAACTGATGGGGTCGAATCCACGTCGTCACCGACTTCGGTAGCACCTGCAGGTACATTCCAACAAAAACTCCTTTTCTGTAGTAATTTCCGAATTTAGTATCAATGTAGAGTTTTCAGAAGTACATTTTACCCGACCGAAGTATTCCTATGCGATTCGAAGCGATGCTCAAGTGGGTACGTACTTGGGAAGAGTGACTGTCGACAACAGGGAAGGTGTGGAACTTACGTTTAAGACGACAAAGCTCTTCTATATCGACAGCCAGGGTGCGATCCGCACCGCTGTTCTCTTCAGTAGTCCCATGAAAGTGGAGGACAAAATTGTAGCCATCAGGAAGGTGAGGATCATTTTTCATCCTTCATCCCTCGTTCCATTTCGAGATATACCTGAGGTATTTCAGGGAATCACGGTGGCAGAGACTGACTTCGTGGCACATGTTATTGCCGCAGAGACCACCACTTCTCCCACTACCCAAGGTACAATCAGCGACACCGAGGTTACTTTGATCACAGGGACTCGAATAACCAGTGCTAGCACGGAACCCGCTCGGGAGACCCACTGGACTCATAACCCTACTACTGCCACTGTTGAAGCAGAGACGGAACCTTCAAACGTCCCCAGTGCGACTACTGTCGAGGAAACGGTGCCGTGGACGACGCTCCAGACTACTATCGACGTATATGAGAGCACTTTCACGGCGCAAACCGCGGGAACTCAGGGTGCTGCAGCGACAAGGGATTTCACAGCGGGCTTAGAACCTTCCCCAAGTACCACCTTCTATCCACCTACCCCTCCGAGTACTCCTCCCCGCTATACAATCACCGAAGAGCCTGTCTCGTCTGCTCAGCCCACTACCAGCAATGGGGCCTTTTCGTTTTCGAGACCAATGTATTTTGCCTTTGTACCGGAAGGCCAGTACTCCAACGGAATCCGTTTGTCGGTAAAACCTGAACCCTTCTCTGTGAATCGAAATACTGCCGTACGATACGAGATTGATCAAAGCGCTGGTCACATACCGTTCTTCCTCACTGCCGACGGTCAGCTCATCATATTCGACGTAGACAGAGAACAGCAAGCATCGTACTCATTCCCCATCAAGGTGAGAACTTTCTTGATCCTGATCACCCAAGGCCGAGGATCATGTTCCTTCGATTTCAGGCTACCAGTCCCGAATACGGTGTCGCTACAGCTATGGTGAACGTAACGATATTGGACGTCAACGATAACTATCCAGTATTCGACGCTGCTCCTTCGGCTATCGGCGTTTTTAGTGACGTAGCTGTTGGAACACCGTTATTCCACTTCACTGCCCACGATAGTGATGCTGACAACTATGGCACGGTCGTTTACGGTATTGAGGAGTCCGACGCCCCGTTTGAAATCGATCCCAACGGTGAGTAGGACCAGCTTCTCTACAAAAAGGAAAATTTGTAGATGTTGAGGATTTTCAGGTGGTACTTTATTTGTCGCTAAGCCATTGGTATCAAATCTGGTGACTGAATTCCCGATCACAGTCTTTGCCAAGGACAACGGAAGACCATCGCTGAAATCCACCCACAAGGTCGGTATTACACTCTCTTCGAACATCGCCATTTGACGTTTAATGTCAACAAGTTCCACCCTTTTAGATTACCATACATGTGTTCGATCCATCTGCTGAACAACCGATCTTCCCGAATGAACTACCTGAAAGGGTAGTGTTTGTTGGAACACAGCCCGGTACCGAAATAGCCACAATCCTGGCAGGACCTACAATAACAACAAAGCCTACTCAAGATAAAATACTGTATGGACTGGATGATGACTACAAGTAGGTTTATGTGGGAATCTTCAGGAAAAAGCAAAATGAAAATTCTGATTTCAGTGGTCTGTTCGCAATTGAAGATGGAGGTCGTCTAATTCTGGCTAGACGAGCAACGGCAGCCGAATCGGATCGTTACATCCAATTGAACATCACCGCAGAAAACAGCCATGGCAAGGCTTGGGTGTTGGTGAGTGAATTGAGGGATAGACCGAACAATTAGGGTAATTTTCGAGAACAAAATAGTTTTTCAATCCCATGGAAGCGTTCGGGTGCGAATTCCCTCTGTGAAATCCGCCTTCATGGAACTCTCTATGCTTTTTATCGTTCCCCTTTACTTGAATCTGACTTCTCCATTTATCCAATCCTATAAAGGTAGAAGTTTAGGCTTTTATGGCAGCGTGCCCATGAATTTTGGGGTGCCCTACTGAAGCTGTACCTCTTACCACTTTAATATCTTTTTCTCGAACGATTTCTCTGTAAAGGGTTAGATGGAGACCCACTGACGCCCTTCTGATGGCGCTACTGGAAAAGTAGCCGATAGGGATACCTATATCTTCCTCTCTTTCTTCTAATGACGAGAATACTCTTAAAAGAAAGGGAATAAACATAAAGCTAGCTGAGTGAGTCGCATTTACTGTCACTTCTAACCTAGTGTTTCCAATTAAGCCCTACTCTTGTTTCTATTTTTGTACCGACCAAAGTTCACATTTTCTCTTCCCAGTGTTATAGAATGGGCAAAATTTCGGCCTAGGACCAAACTCGATTTGTGCTTTCTGGGGACCGTGCTTTTTATCATTGTCACTACTGATTAAGAAACCCGGTTGTCTTAAACGATCGGTGAATCGAGGTCCGAAGTGCACAAGTGCAGATTCCAGTCTCTCCCGAGGCCGGGCTTACCCATAACCAACCTTGCGATACATTTGTATAGTTTTTCGTTCCGTAGATTACCTTACAAGACTAATTTTCAGCTGAAGGTCTTCGTCGAAGGACAGCCAACAACACCTGGTGGTAGTAGTGTCACCCAGTCAACAGCAACACCATCCGGTTGCTATTTCCCCACGAAAGTCTACAACGCCGAAATTATGGAAAATCGTCAAGGGCGCATTCGAATTGCGAAGGTGACGTCGTCGTGCGAGAGCGAGGGTCGTCCTTATTTGTACACCATGTCGCCTGTTTCCGGTACGTCTCCAATTCATTGTGGCCGGGCATAAGTTCAATGATCCAGGTTATTCAGATGATTTTGAACTAAACCCGACAACTGGTGAGATCTTCGCTGTACGTCCACTAGATCGTGAAAAGCGCAGTTTCCACTTCCTCTACGTCAGTGTCTCAGGTGGTATCGCGGCTGGTGGAAGGCGGGTTATTCGTCAGAATCCTATAATTGAACGTGAGTCGAGCTGGTTGAAACCTATGCCAAGTCGTGGAGGTTTCCTCTGAAGGATGCGATTTCAGAGGCTATGTCAAAGCTCACGGAATCTCAAACATTAGTCGCTGTAAGGGTGCTGGACGAAAATGACAATGCCCCACAGTTCGTGCACGTGAATGAGGATGAATCGCTGGCGGCAGTAGTGGATTGGCAGGCTCGCCTCTTTAGCCCAGTGCTGAAACTCGAAGTAAGTGACCGTTTTATGGACTCCTGCACGCCTATTTTCAGACGGCTTACTGTAGTGCGAAATGATTCAGGCTAAGGATGCTGATGAGCGTGCAAAGCTGTACTATTCCTTATCTGGTACTGACCAAGAGTACTTCCTCGTGAATGCCACCAGTGGACTTGTGATCCTTGCCAAGACCCTAGCCGAATTCTCTGGTGATTCCCTGGAATTCCGCGCTACTGTCACAGATGGAGTTCACAATACTCATGTTCCGATCAAGGTGGGCTTTGTTTTTGCTTCTTTTTTCGTATGGTCAAATGAAAAGGGTTATGTTACCAGTCACACGTAGGTCAAAGTAACGCGAGTTGCCTGGAGTACATAACGGAAATTGCTCTCGGGGCTCCAGTACTAAATATTAAGTTCGAGTTCCTGTGACTACTTTGGAGCCATTCCAGCCGCCCGTACCACTAACTGGGATTACCCGTACTGAACCCAGGTATCAGAAATGTGACTGGGTACAAACAGCGACTTGAGGCGAATACTAAGCCCCCTTGTTATATGCAAAAGGGCTCTAAGTAATCTTACCCATGTTCTTTGACATATTATGGTACGAAGGAACGCCTTGGTGTTATGAGCGTCTGAGCCACCCTCCTGGATCCAACTCTGCTACCCGAATTAGTGGGTAGAAGAATTGGGTGGATTTGTGTGGACTCGATAAATGGTCTCATGCCATTACAGAGCTTACCCTGGCGCTTCTCAGATCAGATTTCACCATAAGTCTATTCAGGTCTACGTCATCTCCCCCTCCTCATCCCTGGTGCAGCTAACAGCCGAACTGCCACATTCACAAGTCGATCAGCAGTCCGTCGAGCGAATCCTCAACGAATTGACCGGATTGGACAACCACCTTCTTGCAAAACAGCCGTTTGTCGATAGTGTGGGACATGCTGATCCCAAGAGGTCCGTTTTTGAGTCCTTTTCTTACAGTTCTGCCATGAGCTTCGGGTCAGCCCAATTGGGAATCCCCATCAAACGTAAACACGTGTAGGGTCTATTCAGATCACATCTGTTCGTCTATGCGCTCGATCGCAAAACAAAACAACCAATACCTAAGGAGGAGTTGGCCAAGTTAGTGGTACTAGTTCATAGCTAATTCCGATTAAAACATAAAAAAACAAGCTTCAGGATGCTGGAAAGTCACTCAGCGACGTTACTGTCATCGCCGACAAGAATCTCTGATATTGCCATGCTCTCACCACCACCCGTCTCCATTTCGACATTCGACATAGTATTGGCCATCGTCTGTATCATTCTGTTCCTACTTCTTCTAGCTGCTTGCTGTATTCTTTCCACCTACTGCAAACGGTATGAATCCCTTACTAGTAACGAATAAGTTCTGTAAATGATCTAGTTCCCTAGCAGGAAACGAGCGGTAGCCACCAGCGATCGTGAGTACATGGTGTCGGGGAAAGCAGGACCACGTCCCTACGATGTTGAAATAATCTCACGAACCACGGCTCAACGAGTCTTATCAGCTCGACAGTTGCCTGAGCCGATGACAAATCAGTAAGTTGCTTGACTTTCTTTTGGGAGTACTGGAAATGGGGCTTCGTTTGTAATGGCAACATTTAGAATCGAAGTCGCTGTTTCCCCTATTTTCATGGATTCTACAATGACTACAAACAAAAGCGATACGACGCAGGATTTCTCAAATAGTGTCAGGTTAGCATATCCTCGAAGAATGTGGTTTTCAAAGTTTCATTATATCACTGTTTTAATGCTTCAGTAAGAATTCAGGCCTCAAAGGTCCGCTTGAGTGGTAAAAAAGCTCCTTAGAAGTGTCCTGTGCTAATGCTTCTCTTCGAATTCCTCAAAAACTTCTCGAGTCTTGTAATCCTCTTGAGCTTCGAGGTCTCCGGGTACCGAATGAATCTTATGCCCTCTTTGTTTCTTCAGGGCTATCTATGTTATAATAAAGTGTCTCACTTTGCAGCCATTTTAATGGGCCAACATATTCTACCAGTGTAGCCAGCGCCCAAGTGGATTAGCTATGAAGAAATCTCATCAAACCTGTCACAATCTTGTGTTTTTTCACCTTTGCGGGATCTATGCCTTTAGTAGACTTACCATTAGTAGATTACTGTAGACGATGCCGTTCCGAGTCCTTTACCTCTCCTACAATATGGAACCCATTCCTTTTCTCCACATCATTATTAGAGGTCGAGATCCAAACCTCATTTTTTCTACTACACACTGGATTGCTTTTGTCGGATGTTCGTCCTACAAGGGAAATTCCCAGTTCTTCTGGGGTCACATTTACCTTACTGTAGTCTAACTCTATCATCAACTCCGTTTGACTCGAGAGGCCGATCTAAATCCAANGCGTACAGCTTACAGTAGTCCTACAACGATTCAAATGAATCGTGTGATACATGGATGGGAAGGCAATGGAGCCTTCTTATTTCATGATACTCTGCAGTACTCATGATATCATTTGTTATGATCAACATTTTTTCGTTGTGGTTTGTATAATCTGTGAGTCAGCGCATTCCTGTTTAGGGAGAGACCGTCGCTCTTACAAAGTGCCTTGGCTAGACAAAAGGTGAGTTTCGTCTTTTTATTTAAACATTAATTTGGAAGCCGAGAAGAGAAAATTTGAAATGAAAGAGAGAATTGGAGCGATTACTGAGGCCCAACCAGCTAGAAATGCTTTTGGATTCCGTTCCTACTATAACGTGGGAGATTATATGGGTGTGGGAGCAGCGTATGTCCCTGAAAGGCTTGATTTCGATCAATTTCCTTTCGAAATGTTCCTTTCTCGGAGAATTTTTCCTTTCTTACTGCCAAGTTTTTTTTACGTATCCTCGGTGGTCTCATGGGAAAAACACTTTTCAGGTCCACGCCGCTGCCTCGAAGCCGGCTCAATCGTCTCAGAACTGACATTCTTCGGTTTCCAGTTGTCTTTCGCTAACTACGGGTCTTTATTTTCGGTAATACCTTAGTAATAGATTTTGTAATTATTGTTCTCCCCGGCTAAGCTCAATTGTTCTCATTTATTCATATCAGTGTATACATACATGTCTGTGTCCTTCTCTACGGTGCTCATTTATCACTTTTCCATATTGTATTTCAGAGTGTTGTTCCTATTAAATGTTCTATTATCATTGTTGGAATGTGCACGAAAAGTTTTACTGGTTACATTCAAGGACCAAGGAACTTGGTTCACTCCCATAAAAACTGGGAAGAAAGTTAGGGGCCAAGAAAGGTGGCATGAGGTGTTACCGTGACGAGGAGGTAAAGGCTCAGGGAGGGTGCCGGATGGGTTGGGAGTTGTCTGGTACTACCGGAATCTCAGTGACGTTAGGTTCGAATTTCTGGATTTTTCGGATTTCTTGCCCTTCTTCAGATCTCCTCGATATTAGCATCCCATGACATTTAGCATAAACACATTCATTCCTTTCCTTCATACTCTCAGGGTCTTTCAAGGGATATGAAAATAGCACGAAAACAGTCTACGAGTATCAGAAAGTAATTGAACGTATAATTAGAATAAGCGCCAATCTCCATGTGTGGCACTGAAGAGCGCTGTTGGCTCGAGTAGAAAGAGGTCAGTGAAGGGGAATGAGGCTTAGAAAAACTGCGGTCATGAGCCAACTTGAATTATACCATTTAAGTCGGTCTGGACTCGAACGGCCTGCTGTACCCGAACAGCCTGCCACCCTGGCCACACTTATCGGGGTTGGAGTATGCCAAGTAGGGATAGGATTTGAACTAACATCTGAAGATTACGGTGCTGCTCCTCGCGAAGACTCGCCGCGTTCGTTAATGCGACTGTGAGAGTTCAGATGCGATGATAAGATAAGACTTCGTGGACGGGAGAAGGACGTGACCTTCTCTGCCTGCGACGTTTGGAACCAGAGATGTGTCATTAACCTGGAAGCTTTGAAGTCCTCGAAGAAGCGGGGGAGGGCCGAATCTGTTAAGCTTCGGCGGTTTTGGAATTATTCTTTTTTTGTGTGGTTTTCAAGTGGTGCACCTAGTTCAAAAATGCCCGGTTCCTTGGTTCATACTGCCATCCTGTGCTGCAATCCCTTTACCTCAAACTGTTCTCTGTTCTCTCTTGTTCAAGGATAATCATCAGCGACACAACTCGAGATGACGCACGCAGAGATACTTACGGGACCAATTTACCGTTGGGTTGCACATCGGCTCAAAAGAAGGGCTGCCGGCAGATGGAACACAACCTACTCGAAGGAGAGAGAACTAACTGAAACTCCAGAGCACCCCGAAAACTGAAAGAGTAGACCTTTCGGTTTTTGTGGAAGAAGAAGGCTTTCTTATTGTTAGGCTAGGTGGGGCCTGCAAGCTGCTGATCTTCAACTTTCCAAAGCCTCCAAGGATCCTTTGACATGAACGTTGTACATATGCAGTGTTTGATAGAGTTTCAAGACTGAACCGTTATGGCTTGCTAAGAAGATCGTAAGTAGGGAATCCTGAAATGCTCAAGTTAAATGGCTGATGTAAGGGATCCGATGCAGGTATGGCCCAGTTTGAATGCGCTCTCATGCGTAGATACAAGCAAAAAAATTGTGCTGTAACGCCGCGAATCCAAACCCGTCACTTCACAGAAGTGAGACCAGACTCTTATCCGCTACACCATGAAATCACAATGGTCAGCCTTGGCCGTCAGCTATGTCAGCCTGTCAACCAGTTTCATGGAAGCTGAAGCCCACTCCGGCTTAAGCGAGCTGTCCGATGGGCCGGCGGGCAATTCGGCTCAGCAGGACCTACAGCAGCGTATGCCATCCTTGTTGAGCTTGTAAGGTTCACTGATTCGGAGAGAGCAGGCGAAGGTAATTAAGAGCGGGTAGTTTGAGCAGAAGGTGATTTTTGGTATAGGTATAGATGAG